GGACGCGAGGGGAAGAGAGGAAAATGATTCTATATGAAATCATACTGCCCTATCGACAAGATCCCGTCAAAAGGAAAAAAAAACTAGCGAATGCGAATGCAAGTCTACATGTAAATGTACAATTTGTGCGCACACGCTATTGAAATGCCCGCGCGAATGATTGATACCAGTGTCACCATGGTCCATACATGAGGTTGTATGGTTGTGTTGAAGCAGAGTTATCCTGAACTCCAGTACTTGCTCCACTTATAGTTGAGCCAAAGAAGACATTATTAAGAGTACGGGCAACTCACCATGGGTTCTATTCAAGGAACCCAAAAGGGCCTCACCAAATCCACTTTTAGAGACTGTTCACCGATTTAGGCTGCATGGACAGTTTATCAGAATTAGGTGCGCTGCAAGTACTGTAGCATATGACATGACATGAATGCATCAGTCGAGGAGAGCACCTAAAACATGTCACTCCACTTCTGCTGAAGCCTCATGTCCGAAAAGGAAAAAAGAGCTACCAAGTTCGTAGTCAGTTTCGTCGACGAACATTCCGCGTCCAAAAGAGCTTCGATTGCTACTTCACACTGCTGCTCACGCAACACGAGGAGTGAACAATGTGCCAATTATGACCGGATCATTACCAGCTGGTTGACTTGAGCAACTCTAGCTCCGTTTCACTGCATGAATCATAATGGGGGCAATGTCAGTGTGAGTTTTGGTACATGCAATTACTTTTGGGCCCCGAATAATATCTTAACAAGCTCTTTAGGTTAGACCGACAGAGGAGATCTCCATGATTAGCTGCTTGCTCTGTACCTCCCAAGATTAAACTATGGCTATTATCGTAAGTGGACTGAAATTTGTATGGGCCTAGTGGATCAGTTATACTGTGTTGTACCTTCCCCTAGTTCTTTTGGAACAGGCTGCTTCCACAGGGAACATTCTGCATCGCTGCCAGAAGTACTCCAAATGAATGGAGTAGCAACTAATGGAGCATAACAACACTTGTCTTGATCAAATGGAACCTTAGGATGTCAGCTCCAAATGCCAAACGCAGATCACGGGGAGATGCCAAGGAGTTGCAGAAACAAACCGAGGAGCTGGATCCAAGATGTTTCTGTGTTTTGTTTTCTCGGATCGATTTCTCTAGGTGGGGTTTTGGCCTAAATCAAAGCATCATTTGACAGTAACACAATAATAAACATATCAGGATGTTCAGAAGTGGCATTATGGTGAGATCTGAAAGTGGGAAGAAATGGTCCAGTATAATAGCCAGGGATATCAAGTTATCAGTTGGTGTGCGTACTAACCAAAGATCCTTGTCTTTCTTCAAATTAATGAAAAGCCAGCATTTTCATCAAAAAAGAGAAGATGGGATGTTATATGGTCGTAAACATTCAAGAAAGGCTGATGTATGTGTTACTCTACAGAAACAGGACAACGATCTATGAGAGATACATCACATCTTGGTTATCTTTTGCATAGTTGTTCCCTCGACCTCACCTTTCTCCCTGGCATCACCAATTCCGTGCCATTCCAAGTGGTTGAAGAGCTGAGTTATGCCATTTACAAAAAGAATAAAAACAAAAATAAATGAGTAAGCCTTTTCCGAACAACCCACACCGAGTAGTGTTTTTTTTTCTCTTTTGATATAATTAAACAAAGTAAAACCATAGTTTTCTTTATGCGGATGGAAGTAACACTCCCTCCGTACTGGTGTACAAGTCATCTTACGTTGTGTACCGTGATCAAGGCGGAGGGAAAACGAGAGAACTTAATATTTATTTGCTAATTAATATCATTGCATGCAATGAACTGACCACTACATGCCGTGCTAGGTAATCTCAAGTTATTAAAAATATACATACCCCACGCCTCTTATTGGTTGATTCTTTTACCGCAAAGTCATATTGCGCGGTTTCATGATGTACCGGTAGATCTGGGGCCATTCACTTGTTCTGAGATTCGTAAAACTATATGACCCACCTAAATGTATAGTATTAGTACTTTTTTGTATCTTTATTTTTAGTCAAATCAGTGCAGCGTACTGGACCCCAAAGTACATTTTTTGTCAGGGACGGTATGCATGCAAGCTTCTCCTCTCACTCTACACGCGGAACAAATCCATAGACTTTATTTCCTCTTAGAGAATTTCAATCAACCATATCTTCTAAACTATGGTCTCATTTTTGAAACTTTTTATATATTTGGACTCCTAGCGTCAAGAACTTTAAAACTAGACCGATTTTGGTTACATTTCAAACACATTTAATTTTCGACGTTTCACATTTCATATGTGAAATAAACCCATTTCACTAGAAAAATCTGAAACAAACCTATTTCACTAGAAATATGTGAAAATAACATTTTTCACATAAACCTATTAAACTCAAATATGAAACTCAAATGACAACTTGTGAAACTAATTATTTGGAAGTGTGTAACATTTTTATTTCAAAAGAGTAAAATAAGTTATTTCATAAATGTGCAATTGAAATAGATGTGATTTTTGTGAAACAAGCCAGTGAAAAACGAAATGTATGTTCTGAAAGTAAAAAATAATATGAAATCGAAATGTTAACTTGTGAAACCGATTATTTCCAAATGTGTAACAGTTTATTTCAGAAGAGTGAAACATGTCATTTCAAACATGTGCAATTGAAATTTATGTGATTTTTGTGAAACAATCCTGTGGAAAGTGAAATTCATGTACTGAAAGTGAAAACAATATGGACCTAAAATGTTAATTTGTGAAACCGATTATTTTGAGATGTGCAACAATTTATTTCAAGAGTGTGAAACATGTTATTTTAAAAAATGTGCAATTGTAATATATGTGATTATTGTGAAACAAGCTAGTGAAAAGTAAAATGTAGGTTCTGAAAGTGAAAAACAATATGAACTGAAATGTTAACGTGTGAAACCGATCAGTTCCAAATGTAAACGGTTTATTTTAAAACAGTGATATATGTTCTTTGAAAATTGTGCAATTGAAGTAGATACTATTTATCTGAAACAAGTTGGTGAAAAGTGAAATGTAAGTTCTGAATGTGAAAAACAACACAAAACTGAAATGTGAACTTGTGAAACAAGTTGAAATCATTTTATTCATAAGATTTTAAGTGGGTGAAATATGTGAAATGTGTTTCGTGAATTTTAACTTACTTAAAATGTATCCAAAATCAGTCTTTTTTAAAAGGTCTTTGCGACATGAGTTCAAATATATAAAAAGTTTTCAAATCGGAAGTTTGGTTTAACAATTATGAATGATTTTAAGTTAGCAAAGGTGAAATAAATGTATGAATTAGTTTGAGAGAGAGAAGAGAGGGAATGGATAGCACATGCATGTAGACCCCGTGTCATCTGACCAAAAGCTGACTTTGATGGGACCCGTGTATCATGTTTGCATGTTGTATAGCTATGTATTTCCAAAACATAGTACTTCATTTTTAATAGTGCATAGTGGTGCACTAATCTTCATACCACAATGACCGGCTCAAGATCTGCCGATACATCACGGAACCGCTGAATTTTACTTTTCGATTTTTTTTTACTCATATCAAGAAACAAGAAACGAGGTAGGAGTTAATGCACTGTGTCTAAGGATTTTAAGATTATTTGATTTTCGTAAGATAACTTATGCATCGGTGCGGAGAGAGTACCATAATTCTATTTATGTAGCGCTACTATTGAGCACAACTTGTGATGTGTGCAATTTCTTAGCTTACGGTTTTTAGTGCGTGGCAATAGCTGAAGATTCTGAACTCTGAAGCCTGAAAACCTCGGCCACAGCCTCGCAGTCTAATTCATTCAATCACGGCTGAACTTTGCAGAATACAAGTCGATGGGATCGGTCAGAAAGCACCAAGGAAGGAAAGATCTTGTGCAAGAACACAAAATGGAGTAGCGACGAAGAAGCCGGCCCTCAAGGCCAGGGTGGGGCTGCGGCTGCCTCGTCTGTACGCTCGCTCGCTCACCATTGCTTGCTTCCCGATCTCGCCACCATCCCAGGCGAGCGAGACAGGCACAGCCTAACCACTCCATGTCACAAACGAACATACTCGCGACCATACAACCATCTGCATCTCGCACCAAAAACGAAAAGCGCAAAAAGAGGAATATCAATTGGCAAGCAACAATTTAATATGCTTCCCCAAAATACGCATGCACGCCAACAAGGCAAGTAACTGATGGATATGTTTGGCAAGGCAATGCCAATGTAACCTCGAAATTAAACCCCCAATGGTTACAAGCTTGCGTGTTTCTCATTTGACCAACCCCATATACGAAGGTCGAAGATGGGGGGCCACATGGTAAATGTTGTAAAAGCTATCTATAAAATTCCAAAGAATGGAGGAAATTGAAGAGAATTAGTTCCTACCAAATATATATAGAGAGAGGGAGTAATTAGGAGGAGGGGGAGTGTTGGTGGGGAGGAGAGATCCCGCAACAATAAAAGAAAAGGCAGGCCAACCAAACCAAACATACCAAAGGGAAGCAAAGCAACGCAACGGCGATCAAACACCCAACAAAGGGAGCGGGAGGCACCAAACTCGTAAAGTGATAGCCTCGTATATAGCCAGACGACATAGCCAGGCGAGAAGGACAGCAAGCCACCGCGAGAACGCGGGAGAGGAAGAAGCAGCAGCAGCAGCTCTCCATTTTTCGTCTCGTTTCATTTCATTTCATAGAGGGAGAGAGCTAGATAGGCACCACTAGGAGCTAGCAAAGCGGAGAAGTAAAGAAGTCTTTGTTTACTCCATCTTCCCTGGGCTTGCAAGCAAAGGCCGGCCGGCCGGGGGGGTCGATCCATTCGCGGTAAGTTCCTTTAAAGCGCGGGGGCGGGAGCGGGAGGCCGCCCAGCATGCAGCAGCGGCGCAAGTCGGTGTTCGGGTCGGCGCCCTACGCGATGAAGCAGGCCGCGCTGGGGGCGGGCGTGGCGGCGCGCAAGAACGGCACGCCGCTCTCCATGGCGGCGGTGGTCTTTTCGCTCTTCGTCTTCGCCACCTTCCTCTACAACGAGGACATCAAGTCCATCGCCGACTTCCCCTTCGGCGCCGGCGCCGGCGCGCTCCGCGCCAAGTCCCCCGACCTCCACCTCCTGCAGGAGGCCGAGGCCGCCGCGCACCAGGCCGTCACCACCCTCGCCATGCGCGGGGAGGAGGCCATCGTGCGTGTCCTCGACGCGCCCGCCGCCGGGGCCCTTCTTCCGGTAGCCAGCGCGGGCGCCGGTGGTAACGGCAAGAACGCCACCGGAACCGGGGTGGTGGTGGCCAAGGCCAGCGCCGTCTCCAACGCCCACGCCAACACGGTGGGCGCCAATGCCGGCAGGGAGGAGGAGGGGCAGGAGAAGGACAGGGACGTGACGCTCCCGAACGTGACGGGAGGCGGCGGCGCGGAGGAGGCGAAGCGGAGGGAGGACGAGGAGGCGGCCGAGCGGGCGTCGACGGCGAAGGCCGCGGCAGCGACGGCGGCGCTGCGGGAGGTGGTGAGCGTGCCGGCGACGTGCGACCTGTACCGAGGCAGCTGGGTGTACGACGAGGTGAACGCGCCGGTGTACAAGGAGACGCAGTGCGAGTTCCTGACGGAGCAGGTGACCTGCATGCGCAACGGCCGCCGCGACGACTCGTATCAGAAGTGGCGGTGGCAGCCGACCGACTGCGACCTCCCCAGGTACGTTTTCTTTTTCCTTGTCGTGTGACCGTTTTACGCCGGTTTTTCTGAGCGGTTTGGTTTGTGGGGTTGCAATCTGAGATTCGGGTTCCACGCGGGGATGTGAGGCTCAATGGCCGGTCTGGTTTGTCAGCATGTACGAGCCGGTCTGTTTTTACTACTCCTGTTAATCTGGGAGTCCCATTTTCTGCATTTGTCAGAGTATGAGACAAACGCCACTAGGAGGTCAGCCGTGTCAAGGGCACTAAAATAGAATGTTCCAAATAAACTACTGTATGGGTATGATAGTAAAATGAGACAAACACCATTTTCGGCACGACGGCGCAAGTGGCATAATACTATGGGAGTACCTAGAACTCATCTAAATGAGATATAATTTGGTCTCATTCACTTGGAAATCAAGAACAAAAACAACCCACGTCAGCACACACGCATCTTATAACATCACATCCAATGGCTATAAAAGATGAATGAGACCAAATTATATCTCATCTAGATGAGTTCTAGCAAAACTGTAATACTATTAGTTTGAGGTGCTAGGGATGTGGGGCTGAAAAGTGTTGAACATGCCATGAAACTGCAGGTTCGACGCTCGTCTGCTGCTGGAGCGGCTGCGCAACAAGCGGCTGATGTTCGTGGGGGATTCGCTGAACCGGAACCAGTGGGAGTCGATGGTGTGCCTGGTCCAGTCGGTGATCCCCAAGGGCCACAAGACCCTCACCAAGTTCGTCAACAACGGATCCAGCAACGTCTTCTACGCCCACGTACGTGCCTAATCCCTCTTGCGACGCGATCTAGTCTAGCAACTCATGGATGGATGGATGGATGGTCACGTTGCATGCTGGTGCTGCAGGATTACAACGCGACGGTGGAGTTCTACTGGGCGCCCTTCCTGGTGGAGTCCAACTCGGACAACCCCAAGGTGCACAGCGTCCCGGACCGGGTCATACAGTGGCACTCCATCGCCAAGCACGCCAAGAACTGGGTCGGCGTCGACTACCTCGTCTTCAACACCTACATCTGGTGGCTCAGCGCGCTCGACATGAAAGTCCTGTAAGTTGTAATACTATGTGGACATCTCAGTTGCTTGGTATCTCGACGACTCGTGGCACTCGACACCTACGTACGGTGCGTTCTCTTTTGAATTTGAACCAAAAAATGATGATGAATGGACAGAAAAAAAGGGTCCTTCGACGAGGGCGCTACCGAGTACGAGGAGGTGGACCGGCCCGTGGCGTACAGCGAGGTGCTCAAGACGTGGGCCAAGTGGGTCGACCGCAACATTGACCCCAACAGCACCACCGTCTTCTTCATGGGCATGTCACCCAACCACATCACGTAAGCCCTACTATACTATACATACGTCTCACCTCTCATTCTTTGCTTGCATTGTACGTACACGTTCCATCTTTTTCTTCGCTTCAGTTTTTTTCTTTTCTCCGAAGGAGTTTCTTTGCTTCAGTTCAGATTCAGAAAAACATGCGTGTGCAGTGTATGCTCCAAACGTATCACATGGTTTCCTTGAGGATTGGTTTATCGAGAGAGGGACCCCGCGCGCAGTGAGATCTCTCTTTCAATAATTAGGTGTTGAGTTGAGCTTGAGCATTGCCTTAATTCGCACAAAAGGGAAACAATGACAGGGATTGTCCGATGTTACCTAAGAAGTCACACTTGCTTTACCATGCATCTAAATGAAGTTGGTGGTGCGAGAGGACCTCTAACCTTCGGAGATGCACACGTGCCACCTATCTATTCTCGATCATACGTACATTGTCCTGCTAATTAAACTTGATATTGTCGAATTGTCCCTCATGTCCCGTATTATTCAAGCTAACGAACGGGTGCCATTTTCATGTCAACAACAAACACAGGCCGGAGGCATGGGGCAACGAGGGCGGCATCAAGTGCGCCATGGAGACGCAGCCGATCGCGAACCGGAGCGCGACGCTGGACGTGGGCACGGACTGGCGCCTCTACGCGGGCGCGCAGGACGTGCTCAAGACGTTCCGGCGCGTGCCGGTGCACTTCGTGGACATCACGGCGCTGTCGGAGCTCCGCAAGGACGCGCACACCTCGGTGCACACGCTCCGGCAGGGGAAGCTGCTCACGCCGGAGCAGCAGGCCAACCCCAAGACGTACGCCGACTGCATCCACTGGTGCCTGCCGGGCCTGCCCGACACCTGGAACCAGTTCCTCTACGCCCGCATCGTCTCCGGCGCCTCCGCCCAACACCAACAGTAGCCTCCGTCCCATAGGTAATTAAAACGGAGCTCCAACGAGGCTCCTCCAGTGAGTGTTGCATACAGATACAGAACAGAAGAGTAAAGGGCAGTTGAAAGAACTCATTTTTCACCATTTTTCTGCTGGTTGCGTAAAGCCGTCATGTGCGGTTAACCTGTGATTCTTTTTGTTCAAAAGAAATGGAAGGTTTTAGGGTGATGAAATATGTGGTGGGCTGTGTTTGACTGGCTCATTTTCCCCTCCTGCAAAAAAGGTTGTGAGATGTGTAGATCAAGTTTTGAGGAGCATTGCACCGTACTGGTGCTCTGGTGATCAAGGGTGATATAAAGGCCGGACGTGCATCTGTGTCCTTCACTCATGGTGATTCGTATGCTCCTTCTCTTTGCTCGCTTTTGTTTCATCCGACGAGTAGCCGTTCGACAACTGCTGTGCACACGAACTATAACGCTAAGCAAAGATGTGCAGGGGCATGACCTAGTCTGCACTCCTCCGTAGATAATAGTAATACTACGTGGAATAAAGTTCTTAGCTCTAGAGGCATGCGTAGGTCTCCTTTCTCTTTACTCTCAAATCAAACTGGTAAACGTTTCAAAAAAAATATCAAACTGGTAAAGTGTCAACTGTCACGTACAATGTGTAATAAGAAGCAAATGATGAATGCAGATGCACTCAATCAGTCTAGTCCTGACTGAGTACTACTCAAAAAGGGACATTAATGGAGTAACTCACAAGACCAGGATCCATATACATTATACAATCTTTAGTGCATCTCTAACAAAATCCTCGAAATCTTTTAACTCCTTCACAAAATTCATTATGAGGAACTAAGGGCCTGTTCTGATCTCCTCCAACTTCACAAAACTTCTCAAAAACCAGCTTCTCACGCTAGCTTCTGCTTTGCCTGGCGATCACGATACGTTCGGCTCAATCGATAGCTTCTTCAAACGCTCCATTGGCTAGCAGCCCAGCTAACCAAAATCTGGCCTGTTTGGAGTCATTTGGGCTGCTGAAACGACCTATTTCGAGGGAGAAAGGAGAGAGAACGGTTTTCTTTACATATCGATTCGTTTTTCTTACGAGCATTGAGCGAACCGTTTTCTTTAGCGGTGGCAGTTCTGCCTTAATATCATCCAACTCCATCTTTTCATTTTTGTGGAGTTGGGCCAACCTCACTCCAGATTTTAACACTGCGATCGATCACAGTTCCTGAAGCCAGCTTCTCGGGGCTAAATCGTTCGGCTCGGCTTCGCTCCAGAATTTTGGGAAGCTAGGAGCGGGAGGAGATCAGAACAGGCCCTAAGTCAAACCGATCAGAACAGCTCCCCAGCAACCTCTGTGACCACGCCCGTGCAACCCGCCAAACTCCGTCGAAGTTTTTTCTTCGATTTCTTGTCTTCTCCGTCATACTCGGCTACAGCCGTGCTCCTCGTCCTTATCCTTGGAGAGCGAAGAGGAGAAGAACTCATGAGGACAAAGTGCCCAAACTGTAGCTCGTGGATGACGAATTTCGTTGACTTTCTTGACTCATTCCTCACACGCGCACGTTGGGCCTGGTGAGCTTCTATCGTATTGCTTTTGTAGGTCATCTACCCTATGCCCTATCTAGCTCTAGGACATCATGTACTGTCAAGAAATCGTCGTTGGCCATGTGGAAGGAAGAAGAAGGAAGAATGATGACGAGGAAGAGAGATTTTCATGTGGGATATAGTTTGTCTGAGAAGTTAAGTTTGTGGGTTCGAGAAGTTGAGGAGTTCAATTTTGAGGGTTCGGTTAAAGAGTTTGCTTTGAAAATGTTCACGAATTTGGAAAGGGTACAAATATTTAAAAAAATGTTCATGAATTCAATGCATGTGTGTGAATTTGGAAAAACTGTTTGCGGATTTTAAAAAATCACAAATTTTAAAATACTCATGAATTCAGAAAAATGTTGGTAATTTGAAAGTAAAATCTTCTAAAATTCAAAAAACATTCAGGAATAGGAAAATTGTTCAGTAAATCCAAAAAGGAAAAAAATGAAAGAAAACAAAGAAGCAGAAAATTAAATTGGCGACAGAAAGGAAAAATAAATAAATAAAACAAAATTGTAGAGAACAAAAGCCAAAAAAAAAACAACCCATAAACTTCATAAATCGGATGAGAAGCCTCCATAAACTTTCTAAAACCATTTTGTTCACGATGGCATGGATCCAACCATGCATGAACATGAGCAAGTGTAGCACACCCGCGGATTAAACATCGGCTGCAAATAGGGCACTAAGCGTCGGCTGCAGAGTAGTTCTGAATTCAGGGAGCTGTTTGAGAAATCAGCATTCAATTCTCTTCTTCTCCCCTCCCCCCCTCCCCCCCGTCGCCCTCCCCTAGCGGCACGGGGGGAACCCTAGCCGCCGCAGCTAGCGGCCACCTCCAGCGCACACCCCCGCGTCGCCGCCGTCGGAGGGCCGGCCGGCGAAGCCGTGCCGGGCCCTAGGAAGGTGGCGGCGGGGCGGATCTGTCCTCTCACGCTCCCCACCCCCGCCCCCGCTCGGCCTCGCGGCTCCATCACCCCTACCCCCT